CGGTCTCCTGGGTGGAGACAGAGGACCTGAGAGGTCACACTCACAGGATTTCTGCTGTTCTCTGTTGCGGAAATGTATCCTTTATCCTTATCACAGCCTTATCTCGTATAAGATTCTTGTGTCAGAGAGCTTTTTCACCAGACCTCAGCTCAACCACAGCGGGATGAATCTGCCTGTACCTGGCAGGTGCTCTCTGGAGACACAGGCGAGTTATCACAGCTGGAGGTGGCGACCAGCCTGGATTGCCTACAGGGCGTCACGCACGTGGACGCCACGTGTTGTAGAGGCACTGAGACTGGTAGCAACTGGGCTATTCCACATCTAAACCCCTGTTTCCTATTTGTCCTTCTCCCTATCCTGCCCCCGCCTTCGCCCCTATCTGGGCCTGGCTCCAGATTCCTCATTGCCCGAAGATTCCTCACTGCCCAGGACGGTGCTCTTAGTCCTTTCCCCTCCGCGCATGCGCATGCCTTCTCCTTTCTCGGCCGGACCACCACTCCACTCACGAAACCCACCGAGGCCCCTCCCTGGAGCTCTGCCCGGCAACTCCAGGTCATACTAGGCTCACCCCTTTGTGGATTTCTACAGCCCTCAACTGTAGATTCTTTAGGGCAGAGACTGTTTTAGAAGCCCTGGGCACTAGAGAGCGAGGAGGTTGCGAAGAGGCTGGAGAAGTCAAGCCCTGAAAGAAGGTCCGGAATGCGCATCCCTGCCCTGATGCTCTGGTGGGTGGCCGGCAGTGTCGGCGGTGGGCTGGATGGCACCTGCTGGTCTCCCGGGCAGGTACATTGCAGGGGTGCCACAGGCCTGGCTGGTGCTGGTGGTGGCAGGACACGAAGGGGCGGGGGAGGAAGGTGGAAAGTTCATGTTTATCAGGCCTGGAACTTTGCCTGCCTTGTCCTTAATCAGTCCACAGCTAATTAGCCACCTCCCCCCGCCCCCAGCTCGGCGGAGCACCATTAATCACCGCGGGAGGACACCGAGTCAGCGGGCCTTCTGCTCAGGGGAATCCCAGGTCCTTGGGTGGGCTCTCCATGCCGGGGGCACTAAGAGGGCCGTAAGGATGCGGGGCTCCTCTGCGAGGGTTCCTGGGGTTATTGGGCAGGGCCGCTGGGCTCTGTGCCGCCTGGGAAGATTGTGGGAGGAAGGGTGTCCTATCTCCCCCTCCTCTTTGCTTCAACATTCCAATTTTGTTCGAGGTGACAGACCAGAAGCTCACTTCCGCAGACTTGTTTGCAGTGAGGGAAGGCATATGACACAGTTCGCACTGACAGGGCATAAGCTGAAACCTGGGGGCTCTAGGGAGGCTTTTGCTTTCCTGATAGAAGGCATCGGATGCTGCTGGTGCTGTCCCTTGTTGCTGTTTCTCCTTTCTGCCTTGAATGCAGACTTCAAACGCTCGAGCTGCAGCATCCATCAGCCTCCATGAGGGAAAGACCAAGAGAACTGTAATAATACCGGCCATGAGCTGGCAAACCAATGCCAGTAACCATCTGACCTCTGGACTTCTGTCAGGTGAAAATAACAAATCTCTAGTTAGCCTGCTGTGGGTTGGTATGATTACTTGCAGCTGAACACAATTCTAACTAGGGGAACTTAGAGGGTACCAGCCTGATTGCAGAGATGCCCATGTACCCAAAGTAATCCAGATATTCTTGGGCTTCAGCAGCCAGTGGGCATGAGTGAGGTTATGGTACCCACCGCCACTAACTCCACCCCTCCTCCAGTCCTTCATCCTTTAAAGCCTCATTCTCTAACCCCTTTTAGCCACCTGTGTTATTAAGAAAGTATCTGGATGTGACATTGATATATCAGTCATGTTAACTCTGTAATGGAGTTCCTAGTAAGGCAAAATTAGATTTTCTGGCAAATAAGTAATGCCTCTTTTCTTAGTTATGGAACTCTGAGGTACATAAGCAAACACATTGCTTTGGAAGGGCTCCTGGCTGGCTCAGTCCAAAGACCACATGGCTCTTAATCTCAGGGTCATGAGTTCGAGCCCAGGTTTGGGTGTAGAGATTACTTAAATAAATGAACTTAAAAACATTGCTCTTGGAAAAGGATGCAACAAGAAATACCGTGATTCTAAGAAGGGTTTGGTATGCATAGGTGGAGGTATTTTTAGAGCCAGATAGCCTCCTAGGAGGACTGGGGTAAAGACTCTGACTGACCCTTCCCTTTTTGGGGTTTCAGATTGTTAGATCAATTTCTGATGACCTGAAAAGATAGAAAGGACCCCAGAGGGGAAACTCACCATCAGGAAATGGGGTGTGTGAAGAGGCGAACCAAGCTAATATCAGAGATTAGATGTTTGTTTGGTGGCGGTGGGGGGGATGGCCTGGTGTCCACCCAATAGGTGGCTGGGCAGAAACCCTTCTGACCCAGACACTCTGGCAGTGGTCATGCTGTGGGAACAACGGCTGCACAGATGAGTGTGAAATAAAAGAGTTGCAGCCTGGAGCCCAAGTGTGGGGCCCAGGAGTGCTGTGCGTTCCCAGGGATTGTGCAAGCAAGGGCAGCACTGAGCTGTGGACATGGAGGTGTCAAACTGTACAGGATCTGTTTTCAACAGTGACCCCTGGTGGCAGCAGACTGCTATGACTGTTCGGTTCTGTCCCCCCCTGACTTTTGGAGAACAGGGCTGATGTACTGAGTAAGGATCTCCAGTTCTCCACGGTTCTGAGAAGGTGAGAGGAGGAAGACCCCGAGAGCTAGAGAGGTAGGGTAGTAGAGCGATTAGGAGGATGGACTCTGGCATCAGACTGCGACTGCTGGGGGTCAAGTTTCTGCTCTGCTTCTTGCCGGCTTCCCTCGGGTACAAGTGTGGTTTCAAGTACTGCAGACCTGTGCAGTCTTGCAGGAGCCTGCCTCATACCAGCCCCACATGTGACGTCATGCTTGATGCCCTGAAAGCCTTAATAATTTTGAATAAGCGTCCCTGCCCCCCTCTGCCATTTTGCACTGGGCCCTGCAAATATGTAGCCAGACCTGCTTGGGCAAATTATTTTATTACTTCCCTCTGCCTCAGTTCCACCAAGTGTAAAACAGGTAAAAAAAAAAAAAAACAAACCTATCTGCCTCAGTAAGCTGTTGTGAGCATTGAGTTTTTTTTAAACCACAGTTACCACTTCACATCTTTTTGGTTTTTTTTTAAGATTTTATTTATTTGTCAGAGAGAGAACACAAACTGGGGGGGTGGAGCAGGGAGAGGGAGAAGCAGGCTCAATGCGGGGCTCGATCCCAGGACCCTGGGATCATGACCTGAGCCAAAGGCAGATGCTTAACTGACTGAGGCACCCAGGCATCCCTGAAGTGAATTATATACGTAAAGTACTTAGAACAGAATCTGGCTTTGTAGTAAGCTCTGTGTGTTAGCCATTGTTTTTGTTCCTATTAATTTAGGCAGATGCAGACTCTGGCAATTAATCTTCAAAATGCAGAGATGTGAGCACATTTGTGTGTCCACCTTGTGAGCATATCAGATCAAGCACATGGCGAAACAATGCAGGAGAGGAAAATGTGGCCCTGGATTTACTTCTCACACAAGATGAGATGCCTCATCAAGCCCACATCCATCTGGGTCCTCAGGGCTGACAGGAGAGGAGGATACCGAGCTCTGAGAAGCATAGAGTCAAGGTCAACCTCCCACTGGAATGGCTGGCGGCAGAGGTTGGGCACGGCTCGGAGGGGCAGGCTGGGGCACCTTCGGGGAGGAGACTGCCATCGCCCCACGGGATCAGGCTGCAGGGCAGGCTGTCATCAACGCAGGCCCCATTTCCTGTCCTCTCAGATGTGACACACAGCCTTCCCTCCAGCCTGGGATCCATCCTTGCATTTACAGGACCAGCTTAGAGGATACAAGGTTGGGGAGGGGGAGCTTTATTAGGATGATTCTAAATATACTTACCTATTGACATGTAACATATACACAAAAAGAGGAGAAATCTTAAGTGCCCAGCTCAGTGGATACTCTTTGAAGTGAACATACTCAGTTCAAGAAACAGGACATCCCTGGAAGTCCAGAAACCCCTTCCTAGTCACTCCCTCCTTCCCTAGTCAGCTAGGCAGCTTCCCTGCATAGCAGTTTCTAAAACCATTACATTTCACTTTGGGGATTTTTTTTTATTTTGAGAAATTCCCAATCTACAAAATAAATTGGAAAAATAGAACAGGAACACGCATATACTTACTTACATATATCAACTGTTAACATTTTGCCTCATCTGTCTTTCTGTCTCTCTCCTTTTCTGTCTTTTGTCCCCAAAGTCTACACATGCAATTTTCAGAAACATTTGAGGGTTATTTGCAGACCTCTTGACACTTTACCCCTAAATATTTCAGCACGTATCTCCTAAGAAGTAGGACATTCCTACAGTGTAATTGTCACACTGAAAAAATTTAAATTGCTACACAACTATTATATAATATATAGTTGATGTCCATATCTCCCCAATTATCCCAATAATGTTCTTTATAGGTGTATATTTTCAAATCTATAATCTAAACCTGGAACACATTTTGCATTTAGCTGTATGTCTCTTTAGTTTTCTTTGATCCAGAACAGTTCCTTGTTTGTTTGTTAGTTTATCTATCTCTCTATCTTTTGGTCTTTCATGACATTGACATTATTGAAGAGCACAGGCAAGTGTTCTAGAATGTCTCTGAACTTGAATTTGTCTGATTGTTTCCTCATGACAATGTAGTTTAAACATTCTTGGCAAGAAAGCTACATGAGTTTTCTTATTAATTATGTATTTATTTTTTATAATTTATTAACAATAGTGGCTGCAATTTATTGAGTGCCTGTCATGTGGTGTGGAAATTACTGTGTCCGTTTTACAGACCAGGTAACTGAAGCACAGAGTGACCAAATACTTTTCTCAAGGTCACACAGTCAGAGAGGAAGTCCCAGGATTTGGTCTGTCTCCAATGCCCATGCTCAGAATCAGTTTTTTTTTTTTTTTTTAACAGCTGATGGTCAATTTATTAAAAAGGCTGATTCAAGCATCAGCACGGGTGACTTCAACCTCAACTTCTGGCTCAATACTAATGGAAGTAATCTGCTTACCAATCTCAGAAGGACTGTATAAATCAATGAGTCGCTTGTGGATCCTCATCTGAAAATGATCCCAAGTCTTAGAACCTTCATCATGAAGAGTTTTTCTTGTAGTGATTCTCAGAGTCTTGGTGGGCATCAGAGCTGGTCCTTTCACTTTGAGATTCTTTTCCTTAGTGCCTCTGATCAAGGCAGCACATACCTTCTCCAAAGATTTTATGTTGCAGCTGGTTAGAGTAATTTTAATTCGGTGAATTGCCATCTCTGGTTCCATGGGTGTCTTCTGAGTGTCTTTAAAAGCCACTGCTATGGCGTGGCCCCCTGGCCGACTTGTTCCTCTGTGAGAGTAAACAATGGAGAGTCAGGAGCAGGAGCGGGGTGCCCAGAGCTCTGCTGTCACTGCAACCACACCTCCCTCAAGAAGAATGCTCAGAATCAGTTCTACCCACTGTCGGTAAGGACTGGTCCCCTTGGAAGGAGACTTGACGCTGTGTCCTGGAGGGCAGGGGCTGCGTTGTGTTCTCTGCTAAATTCCACGTGTAGCCAGGGCCAAACCCAGGGCAAGAATCTGTAATTGTTTGTTGAATAAATGAATGACATTTGTTCTACTGACAAAAGTTAGCATGGGGTCCATGGACCAGTGGCATCAGAATCCCCCAGAAAGCTCATCAGAAATAGACATCTGTGCACCCCAGTGCCAACTCACAGAAGCTACATCTCTGTTGGTGAGACCTGAGGATTTCTTTGTTAATTTTTCCTGATGATACTGATATAGATAAAATTAAGTGAAAAAAGCAATTTTCAGAACAATGCGTACTGCATAATTCCATATGTCTCTTTCTCTGTGTTTTGAGGTTATGTGGTTATACATGGATTTAGGGGAGGAGGACTTTACCTTAAACCTGATGCACTTTTAGAGATGAGATGACACAGATGATCAATTAATACATTCTGCAAAAACTTAAATACTACAGATAAGTATGGTAATTATATACTTTATCCCCCAATCTGAACACTTTTGATAGTGAAAGTCAATGCTGTTGTTAGTCACACTAGCAACAGAGAACGCAGGTGGTCACCCTGCCAAGACCAAAGTCCCCTTTGATCATCTCCCCTCCTGGATACAGCCACCTCCCAGTTGGTGGTATAACCACTGTTACCAGTTTGATAGGTGTTTTACAGACTCTACAAGAACAATATGAAGCTATTGAAAGCACTTTGTTTGGGAGCTTCTTTTTCCACAAACGATATCACACTAAATGTAACAACATGCCCGCTTTTTTTCTTTCACTCAACACTATATGTCTTGGAGGTTTAGCCACATCAAGCCCACATGGGTCTGCTTTATTCCTTTTAACTGCTATAGAGCATTCCACATATGACCATACCTTATTTTTCCATTCTCTTGTGAATGGATATCCAGGTTGTTTCCAATTCTTTGAAATTACTAACAATGCTAATGATCATGGTGATGGTGATAATGTCTCAATGGTGAAACAACCTAGCATCCATCAGAGGTCAGTCAAAAGTTAAAATATTTTCAGGAGATGGCATTTTTGAGGAATAACTGAATTTATAAGCACAGTCCCTCTCCAGGCCTGAGGATTCCCCACTTTCCCTAACCAGGGAAGGTACGGGTGAGGTCCAGAAGTGGGGCTCTCCCCAGCCTCACCAACAGAAGACTCAAATGCCCTTGGCCTCCCCAGATCTTTCCGCCCTAAGCTCCTCTCCCCAGGTCTGACTCCTCCAGCTTGCTGTACTTCTTTCTCTTCCTTCCACTGTTCATGAGGCTCTTTCACTCAACTGAGGTGACAGCTGGATGCCATGGAAATAGCCTGTTCTCCACAGCTGGACAGACTGTGTTCAATTCCCAGTTCCATCACTGACTGTGTGATCTTGAGTGAATTGCTTTACTTCTCTGGGTCTCCAGCTTTTCATTGGTAGAATGGGGAAAATATTATCCACTTCCTGGGATTGTGGGCTCTCATGTGGGAAAACACAACAGGTAATATGCTCAGTAAGTGTTCACTTCAGTCCCCCTTTCCTTGTCTCCTCATTGCTTTGTATGGATTAGTGTCACAGCAAAATCAAAAAGCCTATGGGTGCTCCCGAGGACCGGGATTGAGTTGCCTCCTCTTTTGTACAATCCCTGCCCCTCTCAAGTCCAGCACAGATTTGGGGCACACTTAGGATCCCAGGAGGGAGCAAGGAGAGAGTGTAAGGAGCCTGTCTTTGTCTAGGGTCCTAGGAGACTACCCAGAGAAAGACAGGGAGATAAGGCCCTGCCCTGGGACAGATACCTCACCCATGGGATTTTTCAATCTGATAAAAGCAGTATTTTCTAATTCAGGAGGTGTCTAGTCTGATGGAAGAGACCTGGTCTTTGCCTCCAAAGAATCTCCCAATCTGATGGGAGGGACATAGTATCCCCTGAAGTGCTTAGCCTGATGAGGGAGACATGATATCAATTCCCAGGGAATTTTCCAGACTGATGGAGGAGACATACTCTCTGAAAGACTTGCTAACTTTCATTGAAGACTTCCATTTTTCATGAACCTCTTGTAGCTTCTCTTCCTTCCATATATATGTATGTGCTGCTTTCGTTACTGGACTGTGAGTTTCATGAGGACAGAATTGATATCTCACCTTTGGGATCTCTAGTCTCAGCTTGTTTCTCAGGAGGCTTGCTGACTGGCCACGTTTTCAGGGATTCCTAACAGTCGGGCTCCTTAAGCCACTCAAGGGCACAGGCAAAGCAATTTAGAAAATGGCAATGAGTCATCCAAGACAGTTGAGAGGAGGGGATGGTGAGAGGTTGCCTGGGCCTGGGGCCTGCCCTCCCACCCTCACTCTCTCAGCTCCCTTACGGAAACCTATACAGCCCTGTCTGTGGCCTCTCCCCTCATGGGAGCTGTGTGCTGAGGTGGGCACCTCTGTCTGTGCAGGAGAGGAGAAAACATGTCAGACCCAGAGCTGACGGGCAAGTCAAAACTGCTGGTTAAATGGCTTTAAAGTAGTGGCCATTTATAAGTTAATGAAAGAGAAAATAGGCACATTATACGTACAGATTTGTCCTTAATGAGGGGAAAAGGCATTGTTTACTGTTGTTCAGTTCTAATTATCCATGCACAAGGCTAGCTTTTTTCCAGCAGTGCAGCGTGCCCCCGTTCTCCTATCTTCTACCATGTTCCTTTAACCCCTTCAGTGCCCAGCTGGACACTGACTCATCCCTCAGAGCATCAGGTTCCAGTGCTGGCTGAGTAGCCAATTTCTGACTGAGTCTGCAGGGACCTTTGACCCCGAGACAGGCCCGGCAGCTGTTTATGTCTTCTACTCTCCTCAGCTGGGTGGCCGGATGGGGGACAATGCTGCCAAGGACCCTCAGGGCAGCCACCCTTGGAGGGACGCAGAGCTCAGGGATGGCTGCTTTTCTTGGGAGGAGGCTGCAGGGGAGCAGGGGGTACTCAACTGAGGAGGCAGATGGAGGGTCGGGGCTATGAGCCGGGGACTCCCCACAAGGCAAGGGCTTAGGAACATCACCCACCAATACCATCCTTTACAATTTCTCTGAAACTGTCAAGAAGGAAGAGGATCCCTTGGGAAAGGTGAACAGTGGTGGTACTTCCCAGACACACACCTCACTGAGGCCATTGCTGAGTTCACCCTTGACCATTTTTCACTTAGCGTAAGCACACCTGAGGTCACCTGCATAAACAGATAACTCTTCACCACCCCATAAACTTCTCCCTCATCCTCAGGTCCCAGCCTGCTAGATGTTGCTTGTCCTCAGTGGGGAAATAAACTAGCAATAGGGTTGAGAGTGGAACATGCATGACTCTTGCCAAAATGAGTTCACAAAGCCTGCTCAGCTTGGGAAATCAGTGAGGAAAGAAGAAGGTGCAGGAGTTATACACTGCCAATGGGGGGCATTGGTGGGGGGAGGAGATGACTCAGTCAATCTCAACCACAGTCCTCCAGGGGCACATTTGAGCTGTCTTTAGGAGCCTAGGCTGGGAAGGAATTTGGCTTTCTCTTGTTATGGCAGCAGTTTTAGCTTGCTAATGCTCAGAGTGCCTTCACCACGCAGCACAGGGAGGTCCAGGAAAATGTGCCTAGGGGCTACCCACAGGTTGTTGCATGGGTGGTGGCAAAAATGTTACTTCTGCGACCACTAGACAAGTGTACATGGAGTGACCCCATGCACAATTTTGAGGGTTTGATAAAAGGGGGAACTTCATGATTCATTAAAAAGGCAGTTGAACAACTTTATACCAACAAGTGTGAAAATTTAGATAAAATGGACAGTGTCAGAACTGACAAAAGAATAGAAAGCCCAAATAATCTTATAACTGTTAAAGAATCTGAATGCATAATTAAAGATCTCCTCACAGAGAAAATTCCAGGCTCCAACTGCAGTTCTTCCTTTGCCAGTTATTGGGCATTTGCTGCTATTAAAGCCAAGAATTTGATTTACATTCACCTTCTTATGCCTATGTCCTACACTCTACTGGGATCAGGAGAGTTATGTTTGAATCCTCTTTCCCCACCCTTAACCCAGAAGAGATGTCATGCAGCATCCTTTTCATAAATACCTCCTATTTCTTTGATGGTTTGAGTGGGTAACCAAGAGAAATTTTATGAGACTATTAAGGGTCTATGTGTTAAGTCACCTATATTGATCTTATTTAATGTACACAAGCTTCATGTAAGAGAGACATTATTATCCCCGTCTGAGGTTCAGAGAAGTGGACTGACTTGTCCAAGTCACAGAGTTAGTGAGAAAGGAGAAAGGAAAGATGGAGCCCAGGGCCATCTGCCTCCAAAGCCTTTTCCTTTCCTGCTGTTCGGCACTGCTGCCCAGGACAAGGCTATTCCTTCCTCGAGGGAAAGAAGATCATGACTGAATCCGCTCCCCACCCCCAGCCCCCATCTCCAGCTTTCCACATCCAGGTCAGAATTCCATGTCCCTCCCATCCTAATTACAATGCCCAGGAATTTCTTCAGTTGGTCAATGACCCTCTTGCTTAGCAGCCCCCAGAACTGAAGCTGGCATTGAAAGGCATGGTTGGCTATTCTGTTTATCTATTTCTAGGTTAAAAATTATCCCAAACTTAATGGGGGTAAAACAACCATATATTATGCTTACAGACCCTGTGGGTCAGTAGTTTGAATAGGATACAGTAGAGATGCCTTGTCTCTACTCCACGAGGTATGGTATCATCTGGAAGACCTGAAGGCTGAAGGTGACTCAGTTGCTGGGGGCTCCTTTGCTCATATATCTGGTAGCTGGTCCTGGCTCTTGGCTGTGACTGTTGGCCAGAATATCTATATGTGGCCT